ACTTACACCATCCCTGACAGATGTCTATCTAACCTGTTCTTAAATATCTCCAGAGAGGGAGATTCCACCACCTCCCTTGGCAATTTATTCCAATATTTGACCACCCTGACAGTTAGGAATTTTTTCCTAATGTCCAATCTAAACTTCCCCTGCTGCACTTTAAGCCCATTGCTCCTTGTCCTGTCTTTAGAAACCAAGAGGAACACATTTTCTCCTTCCTCCTTGTGACACCCTTTTAGATATTTGAAAACCGCTATCATGTCCCCCCTTAATCTTCTTTTTTCCAAACTAAACAAGCCCAGTTCATGAAGCCTGGCTTCATAGGTCATGTTCTCTAGACCTTTAATCATTCTTGTCGCTCTTCTCTGTACTTAGTTTGGTGAGATCTTTTTGAAGCTCTTCACAGTCTGCTTTGGTCTTAACTATCTTGAGCAGTTTGGTATCATCTGCAAATGAGCTTGATGATCAGTTTGGTATCATCTTCAGAGTGGAGAAAAAAGGGGGACTCTCCGAATTTATAACAGAAAACAAAGGGAGAGGGAAAAAATGTACCTGCCGATTGTAGTGCTGGTGCTAATGAGGCTAACTGAGTGAGAGGGTAGGGTCCCATACTTAGTCTTTGATGTCAAGGAGGTGTTGAATGTAAGGAAGTTGGTTTTATAATGAGCCATTCAGTTCAAGTCTTTGTTCATACCAAGGGAAACAGTGTCAAATTTGTATATAAAAGTCAATTCCGCAATCTCTCTCTGTAGCTGGCTTGTGAAATTCCTTTGTAGAAGAATAGCTACTTTTAAATCCATTATTGAGTGCCCAGACAGGTTTCTGTGTGTTACCATTTCCAGTATCTGATTTGTGTCCATTTATCCTTTGTCACAGAGACTGTCCAGTATAGCCAATATACATGGCAGGGGGCATTACTGGCACTTGATGGCATATATCAAGTGGGTTTTGCCCACAAAAGCTCAGGATACTATATATTTTTGTTAGTCTCTAAGGTGCCACAGGACTACTCGTTTTTAAAGTTACAGACTAACATGGCTACCCCTCTGAGACTTGAAAGAGGAAGTCAGAGTTGGGTTTAGACAGACATTTAACGAAATATTTACAAACAAAAGGGAAAATACTGCTGTCCTTAAACTACTATAACTAAACCTTTTTTACTACTATACTCTCATGAGTAAGGGAGAAGGATTTGGCCTAGTCCTGAACTGAAGGCAGTCAGTTCCATAAATCAGTAGTTCTCAACCACAGGCATACCTACCTCTAGGGATATGCAGAGGTCTTCTGGGAAGTGCACCAAAACACCTAAGTGTTTGCTTCGTTTTACAACAGGCTACATAAAAAGCACTAGCAAAGTCAGAACAAACTAAGTTTTACAATTATATGGTACAATGAGAAAAGTAAGCTGGTTTTCAGTAAATACAGGTTGAACCATCCAAATCTAGGACTCTGGTCCGGCAACATCTCTAGTCCAGAAAGAGCACAGATGTTGCTGGACCAAAGATCCCTGGAGGCAGGAAGTGGGAGACAGCCAGGAATCCCATGGGGATTGAGTAGCCCTGGAGAGCCCCAGTCTGGTGAGCTCTGGCGGTGGCTTGGGTACCCCAGTCCTGGCCAGAAATACCTGGCATCAGCCAGGGAGCACTGGCCCCAGCAAGGCTGGTGGCGACCATGGAGCCCCAGCAGCAGCGAGGCTGTTGGCAGCCACGGAGCAACGGCCCTATCCAGGAACCCCAGAGAGCCCCGAGCAATGAGGCTGGCGGTGGTCGGAGAGACCCTGCCCCACAGCTCCGAGAGGAGCTGGGAGTGGCCCGGCAGCCAGTTGACCTCCTCTGATCTAGCAAACTCCCTGGTTAGGGACTTCTCAGATCCTGAGAGTGCCAGCCCAGGGAGGTCCAACCTGTAGTGTGTTGTGACACTTCTGTATTTTTATGTCTGCTTTTGTAAAGAAGAAGTTTGAAAGTGAGGTGTAAGTTTGGGGTGCGCAAAACAAATCAGATTTCTGAAAGGGGTACAGTGGTCTGGAAAGGCTCAGAGCCACTGCCCTAAATTATTACAACAGCTGCCTTGTACAGGGACATTTTCAACATAAAAATAAGCAGGCACTACTCTAAGAACTTGAATAGACACACATTCACTTAGGCCAGAGGTGAATTCAACCCATAGAGTGTAAATCAAATACTAAACAATGATCAGAGAAGTGAAGCCAGACCAAAAAACTGGCTGATCTTATGCTACAAAGTTTATTATGTCTGTAAAAACATCTCAATACTCTTGCACAGTAATAAAAATCGCTTTTATTCTGAGTGAAGCAGGCAGTCAAAACAGCCCCAACAATGACAAACTTTTAATGCACCCAAAACTTTGATTTATGTTTGAGCCAAATCATATTCTTATAACTATTACTTCACTCCATGCTTTTAAAAAACCCCTTGATAGAAATCTGTTTTGATTTAATGTATAAAATTTGGGAATTGCATTAGGATGTGCCAAGCCAATTTTATCTAACAAATCTTTACAATCAGGCAATTAAGATTCCCTTCAAAGGAATGCAGTTTTCCCATGTCAGTTTTATCTCTCAGCATTTTAATATTGCCAGTCACTTTTTACTCTATTTGCCATGAATGTTTAAATATTTAATACTGAATTGGTGTTTCAAAGCCGAATTAAAGGCAAACTACAAACTGCATCAATTTTTAGTCACATTTTTAAACAACAAAATCCCAATTTATCCGTAACTTTAATAATCTATATGGCCTAGTAGACCAACTGTTGAACTGGGAATCTAGACACTTGGGTTCTGGACCCTGCTTTGCCTATGGCCTGCCGTTTGACCTCAGGCAAGCAATTTCATCTTTCTCTGCCTTAGATTCCCCACCCCTAAAACACAGATAACGATATTGACCTCTTTTATAAAGTGCTTTGGCACCTCTAAATATAAAGGGCTAGGTATTATTATTATTACTACTATCTGCCCTATGTGCTATCATTTAGGACACTGTTCCTCAATGCAATCAAATAACAAAATGGCACTCTCTATGCACTCATTTGATTGGCTAACAAATGTCGTTTTTTACAAGGTTCAGGGAGCTTGATTCTCTCTTCTAAGCAAGTGAGTGCTAATTGGTAGGTACTTAAGGTAAAACATGGAATATGCTGAAAGAACATTGTGAAAATTGTAATCCCTAGTAGCTAAGGGCAGGTCTAGACTATGAGCGGCTTCCAAAAGAAGATATGCAAATTCGGCTTGAATTTGCATATATTCTTCCATTTTTTTTCCTGGAAGAGGCTTCTCTGATATTTGGCCTGTCTACATGGGACCAAATATCAGTAAAGCCCCCTGTAAACCTCTTTTTAGGAGGAATAAGGGGGTTTTCGAAAGAGGGTTTTTTTCTGATATTTGGCCCCAGGTAGACAGGCCAAATATCAGAAAAGCCTCCTCTGGGAAAAAAAATGGAAGAAAATATGCAAATTTTAGATGAATTTGCATATCTTCTTTTGGAAGCCACGTGTAGTCTAAACGGACCTTCACTTTCAGATCTCTAACTACAATAAATCAGAATTCTGGACATAATTATATGCAGCCGTGGTTCTTATTTTAAAGCCTTGTATATCACCAGAATCAAGCCACAGGCCTTTCATACCAGATACTTCTACGTTTTGATGATTATTCTCCCATCTCTATCCTATAGATTTTTAAACATTCTGTGCCACAGAGAATATTTCAGATGTATCCCAAATTTGGCATGAAGAGAGATTTCAGACTACAGCCAAACGTTTATTTCAAACTAAATCTCCCCATCAAATAATCCATGGGTAGTTTTTAACACAAAATTGCAAGTTTTTTAGATCATCATTCAGTTGTAACCCAAGAACTCTGCCACAACTGGTAGAATGAGTTTGTAGCACACACATTGTTAAACACCATGAATCAGGTGGCTGGAACTCTGTCACTGCCAGTAAAATAATGTTGATTCTCTTCTCATGTGTGTGCTCTCCTCCCCCGCCAATTGGTAACCTTGGCAGAGTCCTTTACATTTCTGGATTTTTTAGAGGAAAACAGAATAAAAGTTTCAAGTTCCTCATGCTTTCAGATGTATCACAGACTGCTAGAGTCTCGAAAGAGGATATGCAATTTCCACGGGAATTTGCATATCTTCTTACAATCTCACTTTCGAAAGCAGCACTTTTGAAAGTGAATGTAGTTTAGACACAGCTTTTTCAGCGAACCTGCCCTCCTTCATCAAAAAGCCGCATAAACCTCATTTTTTGAGGAATTTGCATATCCTCTTTCGACACGCTAGCGAAGTCTAGATGAGCCGAGAGCTACCAGCCTTCAAATATCAACATCTAGGCCACCTTTATTACATTATAATGTTTGAGATATAATAGACATATCCTATTTTAAGGAGGGTAGACACTGACTTTTAAGTACTACCACTTGACCTTGCTTTGGGACATCAAATAATTTTGCCTTTTCTACCTCTAAAACCATGCTGGAGAGAAGATCCTGAAGAATTCAAGCATGATTGCCCATAATTCTCTCTTCTTTCCTTGTCTTTACCTCCCCCAAAAGAATAGTCACCTGCTGATTTCTGTTTGATATGTACTGAACCTGTTGCCCCAAGAAACAAAATTGGCCTGATTTTTAGAGGAACACTCTGTAGCTTCCATTGAAATCAATGAACACCACGTCTCTGAAAAAGTCAGGGAAAAGTACCTTAAAATTCAAATGCGCGAAAGTGAAGAGTATCAGGAAGGAATCACTATTACAGCTTTAAATATTTAATGTCTTTCAGGAAAGATGCCAGTTTTCCATTTTATCTCCCTTGTTGAAAACTCTTTTGATGTTTAATGGCTTTTTAGGTGTAGATGGCTGTTTAGTTACTAGAGTAAATGGATACTAAATGACAGATAAACAGGATGCAGAAAGACATATGTACTATTTATGCCAAGGCCAGCAGCTAACCTTGGTGTTTGTGTTGTGTCTGATGTCTTACCTTCCATAAGAGCACAGCCAACAACAGGAAGATGAGAATTCCCACCAGCAAACTAATTGCAATGATCCATCCCACAACATAACCACGAGGCTCCAGATTGTGCAAGGCCTCAAAGACCACCTACAAAGCAATTAGAAAAGATCTTTTACAACTGGAAGCTGTACAGTTTTCCCTGGTACTCATCTTACTAAATACACAGCAGTTTAGTTTTACCGATCATATTTCTAATGTTAACAAACACTGAGATTAAAAATACATAACTGTTTAAAATGACAAGCATGGAATGGGTCTTCAATTTTGTGCTTTCAGACTCTTTTCCACAAAGATTTATTAAAAATTAGATTGTCGTCTCAGTAAATATCATTTAGCAAATATCTGCTTTGTCATTTTTCCCCAGATACTGATCTTGCTCTAGTACCTGCCTTAAAAGTGAACAGAGGTTTGCAAAGAACGCATTATCCTCCTATTGGTACAAATTCCCATGACACTGAACACATTTTGCACTTCACTCATACGTTTTTTAATGGTGCCAACCTCCCAGACACTTCATATAAAAACCCCGATATGCTTTTTTAAAATGCATAAATTGTTTTTGCTGAAAGCTAAATATTCCTCCTTGCTTCATTCACTGACTTATTTCATGAGATATGGAGTTTGGGGATCCACTGGGGTCCTCCTCTTTGCAGACCCATTCCCTGGCTGCAAAGATGCATGGTGAATGAGGAAAGGTCTCCTGAGAATCCCAGACTTTATTTACTGTGCGCTTTCTCCTGCATATACTTCTCTGTGTTGCAGTGTCAACCATGTATATGTCCTATGTATGGCCTTCCTTAGCATTTAGATAAGCAAAATGTATTGCTCTTGCACTGTGTGCGAACTTCGAAGACTTATAATTCAGGCAACTCAAAACCAATTTTCACTGGAAAACTCAGAAGTGATTCTTATTCAAGGGAGGCTCCTTTCCTGTCAAAGTTTATCACATTAACCTCAAGTTCAACCTCAAACAGCTATGAATGGGTTTTTTTTTTTAAAGGGGGAAGAGAATGTTCCTCCCCCAACTCAGGCTTAACCATTTTTGCTCACTTTCAAAAATCCACATTTGGTTAGGAACTGTTGACTTGAACAATTTAGACAGAAAGGAAACATTTGGGAATTAGAAATAACTGAAAACAGAGGGTTAGAATTGATTAACATTGCAAGAGATTAATGTGAGCTATTTCTATTGGAAGAGGACATAAACGGCATGCTTTCACCTGTGAAATATTCATGGTTTGGGCAAAGTGGTGCTTTTCAAACTCCGCCTTTCTCTTCCCTTTTCTCTGCTGCTTGTCATTGAAACAGCACCATTTATGACACAGTTATGGTGCATGTGTGTGTCTACACAGTTTATTTATAGAAAGTAAATACACGAGTAAACAAAAAAAAAGAAGCTAAATTTGGGGCCTTCCATCCTTGATGGCGTCCTGCTAAATAACTTCAGCATTCTGCTGGCTGATCAGGATGAGACTGGACTGTACCATTTATACAAACATGATACAAATACAGCTAAACTTACACACATTTCTTTTCCCTCCATGAAAACAGTTTGCGTATCAGTTGGTAATTCTATCTATCCACCATTATTTGATCGGAATGTTGCATGAACAGCAACAAATGTTTGAGGGAAGCTGAAATGTATTAATTGGTGACTGCCATTTTCAAAATATTTTCCCATAGCCAGTTGCACCAGGACCCCGAGAGTTGCAAGCAAAAAACACCACCACCACCATCCTGTGGTCCTGTGTGGTGAGGCTTTTTGGCCCTAACAGGCAGCCGCCCTCCCTCTTGCCTCCCTGCACCGGGACGGACAGCTCCCCTGTGGAACCCAGTAAGCACTAGGGTTGCCAGGCTGTCTCCGTATTGAGCTGGACAGCCTAGGATTTTCGCCTCCTGGCCAGGAAAACATCAGAAAGTACTAGACATTTTAGGTATTTTCTGAATTTTTTTTTACGAGACAGGAGGCGAAAATACTGAACTGTCCAGTTCAATACCAGACACCTGGCAACCCCTTACACAGGCCCAGCAGTTTAAGACTTGGCCTTTCCTCAGCAGGCAACTACACCACAAAAAAAATTCACATATAGTCTGGAACTTAGATCCTTGAAACCATCCATCTCTTTACTGCATACACAAGGTAAGCTAATGCAGAACTGTTATTTTAAATACAATCTGTTCCTTGAGAATGCGGGGGAAGTAGGTGCAACTGATTCCCTCATAATATGAGATGCCTTATTTCACATGGGTTAAAAAGGAAACCACCCAATGACAAGTCAAATCAAATCAACAACACACAAACACAACTTTTTATTTAAAAAACTCCAAGCTATCACTATCACTTGAAAGTTCTTCTAATGCCAATGATTTTAGAGAGTGGTGACATTTACCATTCTTTGTGGCAACTATTAGTTTCTTTCATATATTGTAGAAATTCTAGTGCACTGTTAACTTCTTTAGGTTTCTCATTGTTAAAGCAGTAACAATAATATAATCAATAGAATGGAGGGTATGTCCTTGATGTCACAGAGCATATGGTAGAATATTTTATGTTAGCAATAAACCTAATCCAAATTCAAGAAAATGTTTCCTTTAAAGGAAAATAAATCAATGTGAATGAGTAGGTATCCTACACAGTTCCTTCCTCCTCTGTGAAGAGCATAAGAATAACTGGTCCAAACTTTAAAATTTTGAAAAGGGAACCTTGGTTTCATATATGAAAATACTCCCTGAAGGATGGAATTTCCCTATGCCCTCCTTTTTTGTCGTTGTTGTTGTTGTTTTGTGCACTAAGCAAAGAACTACTGGAAAGATTTAAAGATGTTCTGAGATGATCTGCTCCTAAATAACCCTCTCTTGGCTTCCCAGAAAGCATCATGGCGCTAACATAACATTTGGCACAATCACATTGTTCAGCCTTCATCTGTGCAATACTCTGCAGTGGTCTTGTCTTCTTTCTCTATGTTCTGTCTACATCAATCTGTTTTCTCTTGTTTCATACATAAATTGCAAGCGACTAGCACAACGAAGTCCTGGTCCAAGGCGGCGGTCCTTTGTACTATAATAATGCAAATAATGAATAGGTAGTAATAATGTCCATGTTCTCTGGTAATTATATTTCACCTCAAAGATAGATACATTTTAGCATTAAAAGCTAACACAAAGCACATCAAGATGTCTGGATGGATGGAGAGTTTCCTGTAAGTTTGGCCTGTATAAAAACTGTTTTTAGGAAAATGCCACCTCATATCTTCCATATATCATTGTGCCAATTTGGAAAGATTATTCAGTGTGTCAGATGTAGCTCATTTCTAATGGTGGCTCCAATGTGCTTCTGTCCTCTAGCAATATAAACCAGCTCAGAAGACAATACTACAGTTATTTCCCACGGCACATATAGGGAAAAATTACTAACACAGATGCTGATGGGTAGGAAATTTGACAAATACTGACTTTTTAGGGGTGGCTGTCTGCAAAATTAGGTCCTGTTCTCTACCCACTTTCCAGTGTACAAATGTCCATGTCACAAAAATCATTATCAGAATAAACCCTTTCTCAACAGATGACTTCATGGAGATGGAAAATGAACTGTATGATGTTCACCTCCCTAGGTACAAAACCCTTTAGTTCCGGTGTGAGTCTGGGATAATTGGAAGAAACGTTCACATTCAGAGCCAAAGCCATGCTTGCTCAGAGGGTGGGGGATAATAACTGTTTTATTCATTATTTGATGTCTTCTAATACTAAATCAACCATAAATACTAAAGATATAAACCTATCACTAACTTCTTTATGGTTTTGTGGTTTGGAGTGGAGTGAGGAAGTTGTATATCTTAATTTACTTATCCCTCTGAAGCCCTCCAATATTAACCACAACCGATCTATAGGCACAGACATGATCAAGTCTACAATTATTGTATTCATGGTCATGCTGAAGAAAAAACACATAATGCATCGTATGTCAGAAGCCTTATCAGTAAGAGAACATTACAATGAACAGTGGGAAGCTGGGAATAAAAAAAGAAAGAAACTAGTTTTTTTCATTCCTTGGCATTTGTTGGGAGTTCACAAGTAAACTCTTAATTTACTCTGTATTTTATTGCTATTTCATATCTTTTTGGGTCAAGCCTGTCCTCTTTCCCAAAATACCCTTGTCTCCTCTACAAATAATGTATGCTTCAGGACTGTGTGGGAAGTTTCTCAGATTTGAGACCACATTACATGCTCTTTATATTAGCTGTCCTAAAGCAGTTCTGCTATTGATCTGGATGCTAATGGGAAGTCCAAAATATGTTCTCTGACAGAGTTTTCAGTGGTAAGCATTTCAAAGCAGAGAGGCAGGTTGGCACACAATAGTCATTGCCTGCCTCCAAACACTCTATGGGTATGTCTACACTACCCCGCTAGTTCGAACTAGCGGGGTAGTGTAGACATACCCATAGAGTGTTTGGAGGCAGGCAATGACTATTGTGTGCCAACCTGCCTCTCTGCTTTGAAATGCTTACCACTGAAAACTCTGTCAGAGAACATATTTTGGACTTCCCATTAGCATCCAGATCAATAGCAGAACTGCTTTAGGACAGCTAATATAAAGAGCATGTAATGTGGTCTCAAATCTGAGAAACTTCCCACACAGTCCTGAAGCATACATTATTTGTAGAGGAGACAAGGGTATTTTGGGAAAGAGGACAGGCTTGACCCAAAAAGATATGAAATAGCAATAAAATACAGAGTAAATTAAGAGTTTACTTGTGAACTCCCAACAAATGCCAAGGAATGAAAAAAACTAGACTATCTTTAGAATGTATCAGGACTTCTATCTTTATATTTGCCTTTTAAATTTCATACTGCACTTATGGATTTTCAAAGTGGCATTTTAAATGAGTACACTGGGAAACTGCTAAGCTGAAACCCTTTTTCATTGTCCATACTACATGTTGAACCCAGGGGGCATGGATGACATGCAGAAAGTGATCTTATTCCTTCACAGCAATTTCATCCTTCTCCTTTCCGGTAATGCAGAATTGCACACTTTCATTGCTCTCTTAAATTTTCAACACTTCTGACCAAGCACACTTTTATCAGTT